GCCAGGACTGCGGGAACTCCGAGCCCCGCAGCCCTTCCCACCCCGCTGCGAGCACAGCCGCGGGACACCTCCGAGGCTGAGCCTTCAGGGACACGGGACCAGGACGTTGGTGGGCCTCCAACAGCGACAGGAGGATTGCGGCCTGTCGCTCTTAAAACCCCATCACGTTCCCGCTCTGCGGGAGGGCCGCCGACCGTCCGGGACGGGCCGGCGACCCGCACACGTTCTAAATCTCTTACGTTTCGTTGATTGTTCATGTTGTGTTATTGTTCTTACTGTTATATTTATTGCATGCTTCGTGTCCTTTAGTGTGTCTGGGTCGGTTTCGCTCGCATTACTTGTCGGAGTTCTTGTTCAGCCGAGGTCGGCTGGTTTTTTTCTACGGGGGAGGGTGGTGTAATGCGGGCGTAAACGACCTTCCGGATGTGACGTCACGGGGGGGAGGAGTTACGTCACGTGGGGGAAAGGGTTTAGGTCTTAAAGGGGAGAAACCGGAAGAGGAGGGGAGTTGTTGGAGACTGGGCTAGAGTAAGGCCACGCAGGGCAAAGGCTGGGGGGAGTGGCGAGATCGCCACACACACAGAGTGCGGATCGGCACCGTCGGCCAGCGGTGACCGACCCCGGAGAAGCGGGGAGCAGCGGTGAGGCTGCAGCGAGGGCAGCCAGGGAGGCTGCACGAGGAGATCAGCAGCGAGGCTGCTACGGGACGGGGGAAGGCTACCGGAGCGACGGCAGCGTCGGCCGCCGAGCGGAGGGTCTCTGAGAGAGAGCCGTGTGGGAAAAGTATACGAACCCGAATAAAGGACACCAAGCCAGATACCGTGGTCGAGTCCTTTATTACACTTGTGTAGTGCAGAACCCCTTCCCAACGATCACCTCTGTTAAGAACAAATCGCTTAACAACGGGTCTCCATTGAGCACAATGTGTTCACTTATCGACCATTACCCTGTACGTTTTTGGGTGAATAAAGGGTAACTTTCGAAGCTATCAGAACAAAGTAATCCTTTAACAGGTATTTCATATACACACTTAACGACCAAATCACTTAACGACCGGTTTCGTGGGACAAATTAACATCGTTAAGAGGAGGGGTTCTACTGCAAGAGGGGCTGGAGTGGTCCTCGTTCACCAGGGCCGGGTGGCGGGGGGGCTCCTGTAGGGGAGCAGCTGCTGCGGTGTGGGCGAGTCGGTGCCCCGTGCTGCTGGTGCGTGGAGCAGCTGTGTGTGGTGCTGCCGTGCAGGCATGGCAGTGATCGAGACCGCGGCTGAGTGGAGTGGCTCAGAGTGCTGTTGAGAGCAACCAACCAAGTCCCGAGGCTGCGGCTGCGTGGAACCATTAAAGGGCGCCGTTGTGAGTGCGAGCCAAGGTTGAGGTTCATGCTGCTTTGAATCCATGGAGTGCTGCACTACCGTTGGGTCCTGAGGGGAATCCATGAGTCTGCACGTGACCTCGTGAGTGAATTTTGCGCACCAAGCTTGTGTGATGCCGCCGCCGCAAGCCGCTCGGCGGGCGCCCCATCTACGACCTCGCTACCACCAAGCGACGGGGCCGACCCCGCTTCCCCCTCACCGCTACCCACATAAACACACCCTCACACATTTTCCCCCCCCATAGAGCTCCGAGGGGAGGCCTCCTGGCCGGCAGGTTTTCACCCGAAAAGCCTTTGTAGGGACAATCTTCACGGTTTCCTATGGCCAGGGAATTGGGCGGCCTCCCCCGATGCTGGTTCGCACCGCGGCGCTGTGACCAGGTTGAGATTGTATGGTCACGGCGAGGGCTGTCCAGCCACCATGGGTGCATCGCACCCCCCACACACACACGTATCGACAAGGCCGGCAGGGGGGGGGGGACCACCGCCACGAACGAAGGGGAAGCCCAGGAGGGGGGGGGGCAGCTGATTAGCGTGGCAGTGTGCTCGGGAACTGCCGGCACGAAGTAGTCCACAGCGGGCCTTTGTTACGGGAGCCGCGGCTGATTGGTATAACAAAGGCGCCGTGGCCACCACCGGCGGCTCAGCCATTGTTAGGGAACCGTGGGAATGCGGCTTGACGAGCATGGCGACCTGATTGGCCAAGAAGACTCTCGAGTCGGCATCCTCTGATGTAGGGAGATGATAAAAGGGGGGCGCAGCGAAGTAGAAGTTCTTTTACTCCGAAAAGCCAGTGCTCGTGACGACTTCGAGCTCGGCCGCCCGAACGTCCGTGAGACGCGTCGAGGTGAGCAGCGAGGAGACCAACGGAACGCCAAGCGCATCAAACCGTGAGTAAAAAGGTAAAAGCGTATCATAAGTAGATAAATCGGGAATAGACCATTGGGCGTTAGCGTAGGTCAGCCTTGTCGATCCACACTGATTTAACAGCAAATCGCAGGTAGCCAATAAGAAATCATTAATAACTAATCGTACCCTTGTGTGGTCTCGATGAGAAGTGTGAACACGCGCGGAGCTGTGTGTGCGTACGCTCGCGGCATGTGTAATCCGTGCTCCACAGGTGTGCGATCGTAACGTGGGTATTCGGTGTTGAGACGAGTGCTGCGTGGGGCTGTGTAACGAGGGAGTGGGAACGTGCGCGGTGCTGTGTGTACGTACGCTCGCAGCGAGTGAGTGCTGTGCGGGGCGGCGTGAGGGGGAGTGTCGCGTTTGATTGACGATGCTGTGCGTACGTACGCTCGCAGCGTGTGAGCGCTGTGCGGGGCTGTATGAGTAGAGGCGTCGCGTTCGAATGCCGGCGAAACCCTAGCGGGTATTAGGGCGGTGCGGTAACGCAAACGAGCCCGGAGATGCAGGCGGGGGAGACCCCGGGGGCTAACGGCCCCCACATTTGTGGACTTCTTTGCGTTGCCTCGTCACCCGGGAGCGGAGCACGCATCAGGGTTGTGGTGCGAACGGTCGCCGCGGAGTTCTGTGATTGTCGACGCGCTGTGGGGTCGCCGTGTTAAGCCGGTGGACTTACGGGGTTATGTAAATGTGCGCTGTTACTGTTGTCGAGACTTTTGAAGAATTGGTAGCACTTGGTTGTCAATAAATGATTATCTGCCACAGTTGGTTCGCGTCCTTGAGCAAAGTGTTTCAATAGTGCATCACGAATCGAGGTATAGTTAATAAATTACAAATTTTGTTAAGTTTCTCTGTATTCCTGATCGAGTTATTGTCCCTTTCATCGCCGTTAAAACAATTTTTCAAAAATCCGCGCTGGTGCCCGATAATACAATTATTGGAATTTCACGGCAGATAAAATTGATCCTAACTCATTTCTCTCTCTCCCACGTAAAAAAATGAGCGGCCGACACAATTAGCATGGCTGCAATAGCGATTCGGGTCTCATTTTTTGGCTGCTCACCCAGAGCTAAAAATGCCCTGATAGTGCATCGCCATTGCACTTTTCGCCTTTTGGCGTTCTCCGGTCTGAGACTGGTGAGACTAGGCCCTAAAGAAAGATGTATCTGTAGTAGGCCAATCCGTTTCAAAGACTGCATCATATATTAACAGTCATGTTTGTTTGCATGTTCGTTACAAGTGTAGAGGTGTATTTGTAAATGTGTATGGGCACGGATGGGTAACAAACACAAGGGGCGTGGTTATGGCCATACGCAGAGAAGGTGCTCACACCGACGTCCGCACCTGCCATCCCCCACGGCCCCCCCCCCCCCCCCCCGGGGGCCGATTGCTATAAAAGGTGGTGAGCCGGAGGGCTCGAGGTCGAGTATTAGCTTTAACCAGCGAAGATTGAAGACCAGCTAGAGTAGGCCCCGGAACTCCCCTGGCTCGCTGTCCTTGTCAGGGCCGACCAGGGAAAGCCGGTGGCATGGCCCCGAGAGCCCAGACTGATGTTCTTATAAGAGCCGGTCTGGAGACTCAGGGTGCCGGGAATCCCAGCTTGACCAGGGCTGGGATAGATAGCCTCCCTTAGCTCTGTAGTGGAGGACCTGGGAGTAGGCTAGCCGGGGTAGACGTTGGGTCTCCCTGTCAGACGGGTGTTGTGTATCCCCGGCTCTGTAAATACTTTAGTGTTAATAAATACGTGTGCCTCCAACGACGTCGTCCAAGCCTCCTGCAACTTACTACACAAGTACTGTGTGTGGTTAATGCAGCAATTGTTTCCTTGCAAAAGGTATCTATTGGTGTTTGAACATCTGAACACAACTCCTGTTTTATTGCCATAAAGGGTTAAACCTATTCTTATTTTCTCAAACTTTGCAAAAAAGGTAAAAAAAGAAAAATTACGCGCTGATGTTGACGTGATACGGCCGCACTACCCCTGGGACGCCTGACCCCTGCCCACATGAGCGGGTCACGGTGCCGGGTTCAGCAAAAGGCCTCGCCCGGTGGTTTGTGACTCCACAAACTGGACCCTGAGCCACAGCCCAGTGACCGAGTTAAACACGGCAACTCCCACCAGTGTCTCACAGCTCGACTACTGGAACGCGACTTTGAGACAGGAACAAATTATTTTCATGAAGTAGTTTAAAGTGTTAAACTTAAAAAAAATGAGGCTGAAAAACGAAGATAACAACAACAATGTTGTGGAGTAGAGCGGCAGGGAGCAACGAGTTTATTAGCAGCGTTCCCCTGCCAGTTCAGCTGATACGAGTTGAGGCGAGGTGAGTTGAGATGAGGTGAGTTGAGGTGAGTTTAGGTGAGTTGAGGTGAGGTGAGGTGAGTTGAGTTACGATGAGGAGAGGTGAGTTGAGGTGAGGTGAAATTAGGTGAGTTGAAGTGAGTTGAGGTGAGTTGAGGTGAGTTTAGTTGAGGTGAGGTGAGTTGAGTTACGATGGGGTGAGGTGAGTTGAGGTGAGTTTAGTAAAGGTGAGATGAGGTGAGTTGAGTTGTGATGAGTTGAGGTGAGGATAAGTATTTGAGACGAGGTGATCCGAGTCTTATTTTTTAAGCCACCCCTGGAGTTAAGACGTCTGTACTCTCTCACGCGTCAACACATTCCAGGGCTTGTCACGTGATATGCAAATCAAACTGAAAGACTTCCTGCTTCCTTGTCACCTAGTTACGTGGCTTGTTCCTCGTTTAGCGTCTTAGACGCAGCCAGCGACTGCCAGATAAACAGACAGCGACTGTCTGTGCTACAGCCATATACTGCCTGAAGTTACATCCAGCGACTGCCTGAGCTATAGCCAGAGACTACCTGAGCTCCAGCCAGCGACTGTCTGAGATACATCCAGCACCCGTCTCTGAGTGGAGACACGGGGCGATGGCGAGTGCGGTTCCCAGTGGTAGCGAGGCCCCAGGGGAGTTGACCTGCCCCATCTGCCTGGACGCCTTCCACTGCCCCTGCACGCTCAGCTGCGGCCACTCGTTCTGCCTCAAGTGCGTGAAGGGCACCTGGGATGTGACTAAGTCCTTTTCCTGCCCGCAGTGCCGAGTGACCTTCCCTCGGAGGCCCAAACTGAGCAAGAACTTCACGCTCGCCAACCTGGTGGAGCAGCGTAGTGCCGCAGATGAATTGCCCACCGTGGTCTTATGTGACTTCTGCAACGATGGCACGACCGCTGCCTTGAAGACCTGCCTCAGGTGTGATATGTCCTACTGTGCGACTCATGTAAAGCCTCATCAGGAGATCCTGAAGTTAAGTAGCCACATTCTGGTGGATCCAGGTACGAATCCTGAAGAACGCAAATGCAAGAAACACAGAAAGAGGATCAAGTTTTACTGCCGACAGGACGAGAGCTTGGTCTGCACAACCTGCATCATTGCAGGAGACCACAAGGGTCACGATGTGGCTTCGCTGGAGGATGAGCACAAGACACGGCAGGTGAGACGGTCTGTGTGTGTGAGTGGGAGCCCCTCCTGTGTGAAGTCATTATTTTCAAGTACTAACTGAACAATAATATCCAACTAAATATTTTATCATTCTTCTCTCAGCTTCCCATTGTTTCTTCAAATTTTAACAACCTTGATTTAATATAAAGTATGCTGAGGTTGTCAGTGCAGAAATAATACGAGAACATGTTATTATCAATCCTGTTATCTGACGAATTTATAAATGTGCTCTTAGTATATTTGATAAAACTGAAGGACTTTAATGCATACAATATTTTCTCAAAATGACGTGAGTGCATAGACTGTGGTTTGTATACAAAAAAAGTGGTTTGTGGAATAGAGGAGCATTCCCCAAAATGTAAACGAAATGTAAAACGACTGGGACTGCGTGAGCCGCAGTTTTCACCGCTTGGAAGCCTCGTGCCGGTCTGTCCCAGTTTAGCGCCGCACTCTACAGCAGCTACCGGGTCACTGGACTTGGTTTTCCAGAAATTTCGTGTGATATTGACAAACCAATTATTTCGTGACCGTATTTATATTTTCATCAAGATTCTCTTCACCGAATTTCTCCGACACTCAACAGAGACATGGCAGTCCCTCCTTGTACCATGTAAAACTAAACAAAAACTTTTTTATTTTACCAGGTGAAGCTCACAGAGCTACGTAGCTCTTTTTCAGAGGCAAACCTGGCCACAAATGACAGCTCAAAGAAGTGGCTTATGACGTCGAAATTCATAGCAGCCAAATAATCTAAACTCATGTTTCTAAATGTAGACAGAAAACCGGAGGACCTGGACATAAATCCATGCGACCATGGGAAGAACAAACTCCAAATATACAGGTGTCAGGGTCGGGATCGAAACCACGACCTCTTGTATACCAGGCAAAGCAGATTAACGTCTCATGGCGCCTTTTCCACCCACGACGCAGAGCCCCACCCATTGCTCAGGTAGCCCCGCCCATTAATCAGGTAGCAGTGGAGAGTGATTGGGTCCACAGGCTTAGGCTCCTGCGCGTGCTATCTGAGCCCAGCTATTTTTATTTTGAACTTCATTCGCACTAAACGTAGCTAATCGTGCTCATCGGAGGTGCAGGAGGCGTTTGAGCTCCTCGTGAAATCGGTTCCCTGCCACGCTTGCTCCCCAGCCTCCATCGCTGCACAGGGGTCGCTACAGCCTGGAGATGGAACCGTCACTGTGGAGGGGTCAGTGTGGAGTGGGGTTGAGAAAGGGAGCTCAGAGAATGAGTGGAGTCTCCCCTGGTGACGTCTCTCACAGAAACAAGTGGGAGAGGAGACGCGGGGGGTGGAGGAGAAGATTAGGGAAGCGGAGGAGTCCATAAAGCGGATGGAGGCCGCTCGCAGGGACGTGCAGGTGACTCCACTCTGAGTAGGGTTTGTGATGGAGGACAACTCCATTAATTCAAGTTGACTTCCATTGGCTCTGAACACATCGTGGGGCTAAATACACAACGGTCAATGCGCCTCAATACCCAGGACAAGCAAATAAGTGGTTCTCATCTCCAATAAGGAACTAGATCAGTGGTGGAAATTCCACATTCTTAGGATGGGGGACCGATATCCCCATGTGAACTGCCACTTCATCTTCTGTTATATATCTTTCTATTCAGGCCAGATGAGGTGGCACATACCTGTTATCCAGTACATTGGTGGCAGGGTTCACATTATATATATGTTTACAATGTGTATCGCATTGTGCTATGAACCCAAGTCACCTGAGATCAACTCCCAGCGATAACAAACATCAGTAATGAGTAATATCTGTAAAGCCACAACCACGCAATACACTGAATGCACGCAGTGTGCTTTATACGATGTGCATATTCAGGTAACCTATTCACGTAGTACACTCCCATTCAGTATATTGCAATGTGCTTTGTGAGCAGTAAAGTTCATTTTTATTTAAAAGGAGTATCCGACAAAGCACAGAGAATCTTCGAGGTAAGGTCACCAAGTTGCATGTCCAGTTCTCACCAGTGCACTGATCTTATCACTGCTCAGTCACGAAACCCAGATCTCGTGTCTAGTCCCAAATGGGCTTTTTTCGTGGTAGGAATACGGCTTGGAAGCGTTGCTGAACAGGCAGCTTCAATTATGACCTTTTGCTATTTTAATCTGCTCGCATTACACACACCTTGTACAACTCTACGAAAAGATAATGATAATATTTAATTATAATTAAAATTCCTTATTTTTCTGATATTTCTGATGTAATCTTTGCGATTGAGTCCTGTGTAATTTTCAGGGATATGATCGGTGACAATTGAATTGTTTATTGGCTACCGAGGCCGTGATTCACAGGAGGGGTTCATCCTCCATCAGGTCACCGGGGTTACAGGTCAAAACGTCTCCCATAGTTTGGGTTGCATGGCCACAGTGGCAATACTGTGGATTGACGTTAATGCATCTCGATGGGTCTCGATGGGTCTCTATGTATCTTGGAGTGTCGCAATGGGATTTGTATACAATCCATAGTTTGGATTGTATGACCACAGTTACACTGCCCTATATTGACTCAAATGGGTCTATATGCATCTCTATTCGTCTTCACGTGTCTCTGTGTTTCTCTATGGGTCTCTATATCTGAGTCTCTATGTATCTATATGGATCGCGAGGTATATATATGGGTCTCTATAGGTTTACTTTATTTCCCATAGTTTGCGTTGTGTGGCCACAGTCGCTTTTCCATTAATGATTCGGGAAAGAGTGGTGTAAACACCACCTCCCTAAAACATAGATCAACCGTTTAATAAAAACAAACCACACGCCCTGGCAGGGATCGATGACCAGGGTGAGGGAGCGAATCAATGGCGAGTTTGCCCGCATGAGAGCAGCTCTGGACGAGGACGAGAAGGCGGCTCTGGCTCGTGCAGCCATGAAGGAGCGCGAGCTGCTGACCCAGATCGAGACGAACATCGCTCACTACCAGCGCGAGATCGGCGAGCTCCAGGCAGCAGCCACTCGTCTGGAGGTCCTAGCGCAGGAGAGGGACTCGCTCGCCTTCCTGCAGGTGAGCGATGAGTCTCCGGTGTCGCTATTTGTACAGAGCCCTCGCCAGTGGCAGAGTTGAGGCTCCTGAATGAGGTTTTCACATCGACTGCGCTTTTTTCACGCACAGCCTGAGCTTCTGCCCATTGCTTACATTGTAACTCATTGTTGGTGTTCATGAGGTCATGAGCCAAGACTTTGTGGTGTATATTCCACCCGCGGTGTTGCGGTGGGAAATCCACTCATCCCATGGGAATGAAGTCATGAACCTCTCTCTCTCTCTCCCACAGGGGCACCTGGAGGAGACGCGCAGGTACAGAAGACTATCACTCACGACTCGACACACGACAACATGGGACTGAGTGCGAGGCACGGGCAGTGAGAGACTGGCTGTGTGTGGGGATGCTGTGTGTGTGATGATGCTGTGAGTGGTGGTGCTGATTGTGATGATGCTCCGAGTGATGATGCTGTGTGGTGATGCTGTGAATGATTGTAATGTGAGTGGTGATGTTTTGTGTGATGAGTCTATATGTGATGGAGCTGTGATGATCCTGAGTGATGATTATCTTTGTGAGAAAGTGGCCGTGTCTGCTCTGCTTTCACAGGACCGGGAGGGTTACAACGTCTCAACCCTCAGCTCCCCGCCAAGAGGACATTGCCTCACTTAAAGTCCTGGAGACAACTACTGTCAAGTTCATGTGTGAGTTATTCAGTGTGAATCATGGCTGATGGGGCCATCTTGACAACAGATGAACCCCGTGTGTGCACGAGGTCGACTCACCCTCAAATAATTACCTGGTGTAGTGTAAACATCACCACTAGGGAGACGAGACAAAGGGGGCCAGGCATGGTGCTGTCCACCCACCCCCTCGTGTGTCGTGCCAGCCTTCATAGATGCTCACGGACAGCACTTGTCCTAATAGTCTGCAAGGCTACACAAGAGATCTCTGTCTTTGTTCACATCCCATTCCAGGACCCAACTGAACAACACCATGAGACTCAGTGTGGTGTTCTTGTGTAAATAATCAGCATGAGTCAGGGGTAATTGTTATGTTGAGATGGAGTGTGTGCCTGTTAATGTGTATGCGTGGGGGGAGCGGTAGCACACTGCATTACGAACCCAGTTACCTGGGTTTGATTACCCGCCAAGGCTAACATCAGTGGCAGGTGATATCTGATCCAGTCCTGGGTCTCTGCTCGGCAGTTTCAACCTCAAATGAGTTCTTGATGCTGGTAATGATCATAATGATGGTGATAGTGGTCGTGATGAGCATGATGGTAATGATAGTGGTGCATCGGCCAGTCATCTCAGTCGACCCATGGCACCTGGGTCTGCCCCATGACCTCCTGCCAGTGGGCGTTCTACACTTCAAGTGGCTTCAATGTGCACATAGCCTAGCACAAGCACCGTGGTGACGTCACCGCTACTAAGTGGTGAATGGTGGTTATTTTTGGTAATTCTGCTGTTAGTGATAGTGAATGATGGGAATGGTGATGACATTGGTGAGTGATGGTGTTGTTCTTGGTGATGGTAATGATGGTGACATTGGTGATAATATAGGTGGTGATGGTTTTGCTGATGTCGCTGATGGTAGTCGTGATGATATTGGTTTTGGTCATAATGGTAGTGATAGTCGTGATGATGGTTTTGATGGTGGTTATGATGGTTATAATGATGCTTTTCGCGTTGGTGATGGTGATAAAGATGTTAGAGATGGTGGTGATGGGGATAGTGGTGATGGTCGAGGTTTTGGTATTGATGGTGCTAGTAGTGGTGATGATGATGGTTGTGATGTTGCTGATGGCGATAGTGATGTTGCTGATGTTCATAGTGTTGATGGTGATGTATATGTTTTTGTCATCGATGATATTGATGGCGAGGATGGTTGGTGATGGTAATATTGATGGTGGTGGATGATGGTGATGACAGTGTTCTGTAGTGATGTTGTCATCGCTGTTGTCACAGACGGATGCTCACCGACTCTGGACACAAACTCAGCTCATAACCAACTCCAGATTTCCTCGGATCTCAGGTCAATTACGCTGAAAGCTGCCTCTCAGGGTCGCCCCGATCACCCACATCGGTTTGATGGCTGTGCACAAGCCCTGTGCTGTGAGAGCTTCTCATCTGGCCACCACTACTGGGAGGTGAACGTGGGGGACACACGGCTGTGTCGGGTTGGAGTCGCATACGGGACGATCCCAAGGAAAGGGGGTGGTGCTGCACGACTGCTGGGAGGGAGCGACGCGTCCTGGTGTTTAGAGAAATGTGACAACATCTTCTCAGTGGTTCATGGTGGAGTGAAGACTGCACTGTCGGTGAGGGGGGCCCCCTCCCCCCGCAGAATCGGGCTTCATCTGCACTGGGAGGGGAGGCTCCTGGCATTTTACCGCGCCGACTCCATGGAGGTGATCCACGAGGTTCGGCAGAGATTCTCGCAGCCTCTCTACCCTGCGATGTGGATGGGGTGTTTGAATGATCGATTGAAGATCGTGGATCTGAGTCGTGCATCCTGAGGATGAGAGATAGAAACCAAGACAGAACCCAAGAAACAGAGGAGAGGGTGGATGTTGAGGAGAGGGGGAAGTGAGGGTGAGGGGAAGGATGAAAGGAAGGTTACGGGTGAGCGTGGAGGGTGATGGTGAAGGGTGAGGAGAGTGTGAGGAGAGGATGTGAAGGAGGGTGTAAAGAGACGGTGAGGGGGAGGTGAGGTTGAGTTTGTGTGAAAGAACCTGTGCAGTTCAAATCGCAGGTTCGTGTGGCCGCTCCTTCACCTGCAGTGCGTGCTCACATCACCACACCGTCTCATGCCTGCGATTCACCATCATCACCATCATCACTGTCATCATCACTACCATCACCACCATCAACACCACCACCATCATCATTATCACTACCATCACCACCATCACCACCATTATCACCCCATCATCACGACTGTCATCATCACGACCATCACCACCATCAACACCACCACCATTATAATCACCATAGTCATCACTACCACCATCATCGCCATCATCATTACCAATATCATCATCATCATCACCATCATGATCACCACCACCACATCATTAAAAACCTCCATCACTATCATCATTACTATCAACTCTACCAAAACTATCATAATCACTATCACCAACATCGTCAATATCATACCACGTTCACCACCATCATTACTATCATCACCATCACCCCATCATTACTATCATCAGCAACATCATCATCAACATCATTATCTTCATCATCACCACTACCACAACCACCACCATCATCATAATCATTATCACCACAATAATCAGCACCATTATCACGTCCATCATCATAATCATTACTTATCATTACCACTATCATCACTATCATCATTGTCATCATCACTATCAGAACCCACATCACCATCACCATTCTTACCACCAACAACAACAACCGCCATTCGCCACTAAGTCGCGGTGACGTCACCACGACGCTTGTGCCAGGCTATGTGCACGTTGAGGCCACGTGGCCTCATTCTTACCACCACTACCACCACAATCATCACAATCATTACCATCATCAACATCAATACCACAAAAACTGCCATAATTATCACCATTATCACATCCACCATCACGACCATCATCACCACTATCATCCTCACCTTGAAAACCACTATCACCATCATTCCCACCATCACCCTCGTCATCGCCCCTTACCACCATCTCCCTCATCACTACCATTACTACCACCACTGTCATTATCACCACCGCCACCATGATCACCACCATCATTATCACCATCACTACCATCATTACTACTGTAGTAAGTATGTAGGAGGCTTGACGACAGGATCGGAGGCACACTTGTTTATTACACCAACACAGTAATCACGGGTCACTTGGCTACAGGGATGCACAACAGCTAACCCCGCTAACCTATGCCAATCCCTCCACTACGGGGCTAGGGGAGGTTATCTGTCCCAGCCTGGTTAAGCTGGGATCCCGGCTCCCTGAGTCTCCAGACCAGCTTAGTCTGGGCTCTCGGGGCCACGCCACCGGCTTGCCCTGGTCGGCCCTTATAAGGACAGCGAGCCAGGGGAGCTCTGGGGCCTATTCTAGCAGGTCTTCCTTCTTCTCTGGTTAAAGCTGAGCCCCGACCTCGAGCCCTCGAGCTCATCACCTTTTATAGGACTCGCCCCCGAGGGGGGGCCCGTGGGGGATGCACATGCGGACGTCGGTGCGAGCGCCACCCTTGTGTACGGCCGTAACCCCGCCCCTTGTGTTTGTTGGCCATCCGTGGCCATGCATAATTACACCTCAACATCCGTAGCCATGCGCAATTACACCTCTACATCACCCCCCCCCTGTACAGCTCGCAGCCGTCCCCGGCTGCAAAAAAAAATCAGAATAAAGGTGCATCCCTCACGAAAACCGTGTGTGTGTGCCTCGCGTAATTTTTAACAAGAACAAAGAGAACCTTAACAAGAACAACAACAGGAAGAGAGAGAGAGAGAGAGAAAACAAATAACCCGACGCACCCCCCCGAATAAACACCCCAAAACCAACATATATACACACACTCCGGACGCCACCCCTCACACTGTCCGCAAGGCCCCCCAACGGCCGACCTCACAATAGTCTGCGCGTTTTGGCGCGCGTTCTCGCGGCGGGCCCGTCACAAGGGCCCGTCCCGGCACGCTCAGTGGCGGTTGTTGACGGTCCGGGTGCAAGAGAGTCAGGCGTCGCTGCCGAGTGACCCCCGACCCCTCCGGGAGGGGTTGGCGGGTGTGGACCCGTCACTCCTGTTGCACCTGGGGACGGAACAGTTGATGTCAGGTTAGGCGAGCGCAGCGACGTCGGGGAGTCGGCGGAACCCTCACACGTTTGGCCATGCGTGTGTGTGTGTGAACCACGGGGCGGCGCGATGAACGGTTTCAACCTTGAGGGGTGCACATACCACCGACACCTCCCCCATTTGACGCGAACACATTGCGGCCGCAAGACCTGTACGACCTCCACTGGCCCCCGCCACGGCCGTACCAACTTTGACGAGGTTGCCAGCGGCACCTGGGGACAGTGCAACCATGCCCTGTCCCCTGGTTTCCATTTGACCACATGTACCCGCCCCAACCGAAGCCTCTCGTTCGCCCTCTGGCGGAGTTCAGAATTTTGCACGGCCGCTTCCCGCGCCTCAGACAATTTGCTGATGTTAAATTTAACGTGTTCGGACAAGTTAGACTTCGCCTGGGGCGCCGAGAGCTTCAGCTGGGTCGTCACAGGGGGGTTAGCCTCGCGCCCATACATTAAAAAGAAAGGGGAAAATCCGGTGGCCGCATGGGGAGCCATTCTGTAGGCCTGCAACACACCGGCTATACGAAGGTCCCAATCTGTCTGGGATACTGACACCTGCTGGGACAGCATAGACGTGATGGTCCGATGCAGCCGTTCCACCATCCCGTCAGTTTGTGGGTGATACGGAGAGGTCCGAACCTTCTCCGTACCCAAGAGGTCGCACACCTCGCGGAGGAGTTTACCAGAAAAATTCCTACCCTGGTCAGTAAGCAGCCGTTCCGGAGCACCCTTGTCGAGGACATAGCCCTGGACAAAGGCCTCCGCGATGGCTGCTGCCGACTGGTTGGCCAGGGGCCAGGCCATAGGCCATCTCGTGAAGTACTCGACCCCCGTTAATAAATACCTATTTCCCCTGGGTGTAGCGGGAAATGGGCCGAGTATGTCTAGAGCAACGAGCTCGTTAACCCGGGAAACCTTTATGGACTGCAGCGGAGGGTTGGACCCCCTAGCAGGTGGCTTCCTCTGCGCGCATTGCGTGCACGACCCCAGGAGATCCCCCACGTCCTTTGCCATGCCCGGCCAGAAGAAATCGAGCTGGAGCGTGGCAAAGGTCTTGTGAACCCCCAAGTGCAGAAGCCGCTCATGAACAGCCCATACCACCTTACCCCTTAATGCTGCAGGCACCACGAGCCGCTGGCGGCGGGTTTTTCCGTCCCAGTGCATTAAAAGACCCTGGAACAACCCCCACGAGTCAACGTTCGCCACCCCCTGACCAACCCCCCCGGCGCGACGGCGCAGAGCGAGGAGGGAGGTGTCCTCCATTTGGAGGCGTCCCCATTCCGCGACCGACAACCCCAGCAACGAATCCCTCCCTTCTTGCTCGATAGGACCCGAAGCCGAAGGCGCATCGGCGGCGGCCACGAGGACCGAATCGGTGGTGACGTTCGGGGGCCTACAACGCCCCGAACCCAAGAGGCAAGCGCACTCCGAAGTGGGTGGCAACCGCGACAGGGCGTCAGCGTTCGTGTGGCGGACGCCCTTACGATATGTGGTGACAAAGTCATAGTCTTGGAGAATCTCCAACCATCGAGACAACTGGCCCGATGGTTGTTGAACCCGCAGGGCGTACTGTAGGGCCGCATGATCTGTACGGACGGTGAACCGCCGACCGTACAGATACGGGCGGTACTGCTGAATGAAATAAACAATTGCCAATAATTCCCGACGGGTAACGCAGTACCGCTGTTCGGCTGGAGACAGTACCCGACTACCATAAGCCACCACATGCTCTACGCCCCCAATGAGCTGGGACAGCACGCCCCCGATGCCCGTGTTACTTGCATCTGTATCGAGCAAGAAGGGTTGTGAAAAATCGGGGTAATTCAACGGCGGAGCCCCCACCAGGGCATTCCGGAGGGCGCGAAAAGCAGCCTCCTCCTCCGGCCCCCAATGAAACCTGACTCCCTTGGACGTCAAGGCATGCAATGGTTTCGCGATCGTAGCGAAGTCAGCCACAAACCGTCGATAATACGACGCGAACCCAATGAAACTCCTGACCTCTCCCACCGAGGTGGGAGTCGGCCAGGAGCTGACGCATTCCGTTTTGGCGGGATCAGTGGATATCCCCGAGCGCCCAACAATGTGACCCAAATACCGCACCGATTCGCGGAGTAAATGGCACTTCTGCGGTTTAAATTTTAAATTGGCAGCCCGCATTTTGAGAAAAACAGCACGCAACCTCTGGAGGTGTTCCTCGAAGGATTTGCTAAAGACGATGACATCGTCCAAGTAAATTAAACACGAATCCCATTGCAAGCCTGCCAAGACCAATTCCATTAACCGCTGAAAAGTTGCCGGCGCAGAATGTAAACCCATCGGCAAGCGGTTAAATTGGAAGAGACCTTGCGGTGTACGAAAAGCAGTCTTAGGTTTTGATTCGTCATCCAGAGGAAGCTGCCAGAATCCAGATAGCAAATCGAGAGTGGAAAAGAATCGCGCCCCCGCCAAGGCATCGAGCGACTCATCCATTCGAGGAAGCGGGTACGCATCTGCCACAGAAATTTTGTTCAAACGCCGAAAGTCGACACAAAACCGCAGTGAGCCGTCGTGTTTTTTTCACCAAAACGATCGGCGCGCCCCACGGGCTGTTGGAAGGGGAAATGATATCGGCGGCTAGCATGTCATCAACAGCCGATTTGACATGATCCTTTTTGGCGGGACTCAACCGAAAGGGATTTTGGCGGATTGGCGCGCTGTCACCCGTGTCAATATGGTGTCGCAGCAATTTAGTACAACCAATATCAAATTTGTGTTGACTAAAAACGTCAGCAAATTCGCTCAGGAGAACTCGCAGCTGCGCGCGCTGCGAGTCGGACAGGTCCACTGAACCCGCGCAAAGCGCATCCAGCCATCCGTCATCACAGTCCGAATGCGGTCGCGACGAAGGATCGGTGGTTACCTGACCCACGAGTGGTTCCTCATAGGGTACCGGCGTTGCGTGTGCAAGCACGGTCCCTTGAGGAACCACGGCCGTTCGCGATCCTACATTAAGGACTGCAATGAAGGGGTCCCCATCCCCTCTCACCATGGTCTGAGCCGCTAGCAAATCGGGTCCATTGACCCCGGCTCGAGATGGTCCCAACAAGACCCCCCGATCCGCAACCCCTTCATTAAACGGCCGACGCAACCTAAGAGGGACGAGCATCTGAGCCCCCGGAGGTACGCGCACAGTTTTTGTCACGAGCGCCTGCACGGTGGCAAACGCCCGACGCTCCGTGGTGGGGGAAGACAAAAATGTAACACATCGGCCCGATGGGAGCTCGATGCACCCCTGGTCAATCAGGATACGGATGGGCATTTTGGCCAAGAAATCCGTCCCCAACAGGCACGGAACCGCGAGTGAGGAGGAAACCAAAACAGGCCCGGATAATTTAATGTCTCCAATGCAAATAGTGGCGCGGATTTGCCCAATAATGCCCAGCGAGCCCCCGTTAGCAGCATAGCATGGCACGTCAACAGGGAGCAAGGGACGACTTTGAACGGGAAGGATGTTATAAATCAAATCAGATATAATGGTCGCCGATGCCCCTGTGTCAATTAAAATCCGCACCTCTACCCCATCAATGTGACCAACCACAACCGATGATCCCGCCGACGCAGCAACGACACGATGGGCGAACTCCGACCACTGACCCGGTTGGAGCGCTCGCCTCATTACAGAACAATCGCGCGCGACGGACGGCGATTTTCGAGCCCTGTTCAGTTGAGCGCGCGAGTGTGTGTCGGATGTGTGCATGGGCCAAACGTGTGAGGTGCCACGACTCGCCGTATTTCTCTGCTGGAGCTTGGGAGGAGACGGCGTGGCGTCCTGACTAGGTGTCGCCCCGCGCTGACGGGGAGCCCGGCATCCTGACGCGACGTGGCCTTGCAGGCCACAGTTGTAGCAGCGTGTGAGCGCCCCAGATGTCCTGGGCTGCTCCTGGCGGCTCGGTCCATTCCGAGCCTGTGGTGCCGCCGATCTCCATTCCCCTCGCCGCTCCACCCCGCAGACCTCCTCCGATGGGATGGCGGTGGCTGCCATGGCATGGCCGGCCGCCCCCTTGGCCGCCTTTCGACGTAGGGACCGCAGGCCCCCGTGGATGTGGCGCGCGACCAGCAGGGACGACATTTCTGCGTCGTCTTGAGCCAGGACGTTGACGTCCAGCTCATCAGCGAGTATCAGCAGCTTCTCAGCCACCATGGCATCCACTCCTTCCTCGTCCATCCGTGGAAAAGCAGCCTTCGCTAGGGCCAGGAGAGCCGTCCGGAAGGCCAGGGGCGATTCGTTGGCGCCCCGGTGTCGATCGTGGAACAGCTGCCTGCAGTCCGAAGGCGGCCCATAGACGGCTGACAGCAGCTGCAGCGCCAGGTGCAGAGTGGCGCGCTTTTCTTTAGGCGCCGAGGTGAGGGTAGCCAGGGCGTCGTTGTCCAACATCGCCGGCAGCGCGCGTAGAGCCTCGGCGTCTGACCAGTTCGCCATCTCTTGATGAGC